TCACAATAGACAATAAGCTTGCGAGAGTCCTCCAGGGCAGCTGCCTCCAAGCGCGGGTTGTCAGCCCTGCAGGAGACCACAGCGCCGTTGTTGCTCCTGCTGGGGACGAGGTGGAGGGTCGACCTGCTCACCTGTCCCTCCTGCGTCACCTGACGAAGCACCGGTGAGAAACAGGTTACCGCTACATCGTGTGACCCACCACCGGACCTCCTTGAGACCTGCCTCGCATCTCCCATTCGTCTGTTGACATCTTGTATGTTGCGTCATGATGCTGATCCTGACTCCACACTCAGCAACGCTTATACCGAACTGAGATGTTACTGATGCCCTTGTACCATGCTTAGTGGTTATTGATGCCCTTGTACCATGCTTAGTGGTTATTGATGCCCTTGTACCATGCTAAATGGTTATTGATGCCCTTGTACCATGCTTAGTGGTTATTGATGCCCTTGTACCATGCTTAGTGGTTATTGATGCCCTTGTACCATGCTTAGTGGTTATTGATGCCCTTGTACCATGCTTAGTGGTTATTGATGCCCTTGTACCATGCTTAGTGGTTATTGATGCCCTTGTACCATGCTTAGTGGTTACTGATGCCCTTGTACCATGCTTAGTGGTTATTGATGCCCTTGTACCATGCTAAATGATTATTGATGCCCTTGTACCATGCTAAATGGTTATTGATGCCCTTGTACCATGCTTAGTGGTTATTGATGCCCTTGTACCATGCTAAATGGTTATTGATGCCCTTGTACCATGCTTAGTGGTTATTGATGCCCATGTACCATGCTTAGTGGTTACTGATGCCCATGTACCATGCTTAGTGGTTATTGATGCCCTTGTACCATGCTTAGTGGTTATTGATGCCCTTGTACCATGCTTAGTGGTTATTGATGCCCTTGTACCATGCTAAATGGTTATTGATGTCCTTGTGCCATGCTAAATGGTTATTGATGTCCTTGTACCATGCTAAATGGTTATTGATGCCCTTGTACCATGCTAAATGATTATTGATGCCCTTGTACCATGCTAAATGGTTATTGATGCCCTTGTGCCATGCTAAATGATTATTGATGCCCTTGTACCATGCTAAATGGTTATTGATGCCCTTGTGCCATGCTAAATGATTATTGATGCCCTTGTACCATGCTAAATGGTTATTGATGCCCTTGTACCATGCTTAGTGGTTATTGATGCCCTTGTACCATGCTTAGTGGTTATTGATGCCCTTGTACCATGCTAAATGGTTATTGATGCCCTTGTACCATGCTAAATGGTTATTGATGCCCTTGTACCATGCTAAATGGTTATTGATGCCCTTGTACCATGCTAAATGATTATTGATGCCCTTGTACCATGCTTAGTGGTTATTGATGTCCTTGTACCATGCTAAATGGTTATTGATGCCCTTGTGCCATGCTAAATGGTTATTCATGCCCTTGTACCATGCTAAATGGTTATTGATGCCCTTGTACCATGCTAAATGGTTATTGATGCCCTTGTACCATGCTAAATGGTTATTGATGCCCTTGTGCCATGCTAAATGGTTATTGATGCCCTTGTACCATGCTAAGTGGTTATTGATGCCCTTATGATGTCCTTGAAGTGATTGCCGTGTCCATCATGTTCACGTAAGTGATGTTTGTGACGTCAGCAACAAATTATCTGTTTAACTTTCTGTATAAATGAATGAGTCTTTCACTATAATTTATTGGATAAGAAATTTAATTGCTGTATGCACTTATAATGATGCAAGCTTTCTCACACTCAACTCTTCAGACACTCTTCCCTCCTCCTCCCTCCCTCTCTCTCTCTCTCTCTCTCTCTCTCTCTCTCTCTCTCTCTCTCTCTCTCTCTCTCTCTCTCTCTCTCTCTCTCTCTCTCTCTTTCTCTCTCTCTTTATTCCTCTCTCTCTCTCTCTCTCTCTCTCTCTCTCTCTCTCTCTCTCTCTCTCTCTCTCTCTCTCTCTCTCTCTCTCTCTCTCTCTCTCTCTTTATTCCTCTCTCTCTCTCTCTCTCTCTCTCTCTCTCTCTCTCTCTCTCTCTCTCTCTCTCTCTCTCTCTCTCTCTCTCTCTCTACCTGATGCTTGGTATCGGTCATCAACATGCCATCAATCCACCAGGTGAGGACGGCTGGGGGCCTGGAGCCCCTGGCCTCACACGCCAGGGAGTACCTCAGCCCCTCCGTCAGCGGCTCGTTCTTCTCCAGGATAGACACCTCCAACGGTGGAACTGTGGGAGCGAGGATAGACGATTTTATCACTGCACTCGATGATAATAATTGCAATGGCTGGATGTAATAAAAGGTTTTGTTTTCCACTCAGCTCCTCGAGGTCATGCCATTACATTTTTTTTAAATTTGACACATGTGTTGCCTTGAACAAATGAAAAACTCAGAGGTTGAGATAGGTAAAAACTACTTTGGAAAAGCTTTTTACTGGACTACAGCGACTGGTGTTTGAGCCATACTGGAAGTGTTCGAAATCTCATGTTGAAGAAAAGGTGATTTCTGACAATTCTGAACACTTATAGCTGACGTAGTGCTGCGAGGCGTGATCAGTGCAGGACACTAAAGTATTTGGATTAATCTAGTGCGTATAAATACCCCCTGAAGACTTTTGTGTGTGTGTGTATTTCCGCCTGTAATACTGAATATAAGAGATATATATATAAACTACACTGTTACTAAGAACTAATATTTCAGAATGGATAAAAGATCCAATGATGGCACGTAGATCCATTTTTCTTACCCACAGATAATTCCACGCCTTACATAATTTAACACACCTTAAAGCCAGCATTAATATATAGCACTTGGAGGGGAAATTCCCCTCTGCAATATGGTATCTTCAGGCCACCAAGTTAGACAGGTTCAATATTCCTAAAGGAATCCACAGGGAAATAGCAGTTCGGTTATATAGACTATGTCTAGGTTACAGAAGCAACTGACATATTGGTGAATCCAGACAGAGAGAAGGTATCTTCTGCCAAACAATCACAAAAGTCACTACTTCACTATCTCCTGGAATGTGAAGCAACCAACGACCTTAGAAGAACTTAAAGAGTCCCAGAATATTGCAGTAATCACCCTGAGACCATCAACACAGCCACTCTCCTGGTCAAAAAAGGTGTCCAGCAGCTGGACACCCTCATAAAGACTGTCAATCAGTATCCTCCTCCCCCTCCCCCCCTCCCCCCGCGATAGCAACCTGGCGATTAAATGCGACCTCAGCACACATTAATCATTCACTCCAACACAAAACAAAAATCTAAAACTTACGGGTTACTCATGCCCGTGCCACCCCTTGGGTGCCTTAATCTACATCAAGGGAAATGAAAACAAAGAGTTGGGAGGACAAAGTGATGGAACTTCGACCATCGAGAATTGAACCGCGACCATGCAAGGAGCGAGGTCGTCGCTGTATCGACCAGTCCATGTGATCAGGTGACAACGGTGTAGAGTAGCACATACTACTGTTTGTAAGGGTTGAGAGGGTTGTGTCGGTGTGGGGTTGAGAGTTAATCGTAATGAAGATGGAGGTAGAGCGACGGTCTCGCTTCTTGCGGGTCGGCGTTCAGTCCCCGACCGTCCAAGTAGATGGGCACCATTCCTTTCCTCCGGCATATCCTAAATTCTTATCCTCACATCGCTTCCACTTGCTGTAAAGTCGTATTGGCTTAGTGCTTTCTTCTGCTAATTACTTAACCTTACCATAAAGACTTGACGAAATATCACGAAACTCTTCCTCGCAACACAAACATTAATGCAACTCTCACAAGCCAAACACAAACCACACCAAACACACCAAATGCATAGTAACTTGGCAAAAAAAACATCATCTGCCTGCAAACATGTGTAAATAGATGCTGGTCTTATCATTTCCAAAATTTGCATTTGTGCTGTAATGACTAACATTGGCACCCACGGCAGTTAGGCTGTCACACACACACACAGCTGGTCATGATGCCACTCTCAACTACCTGCTCTCACACGTAGTTAGACAATAATACCTGCCACTTACAGCTCATGTCGAGAGTGACGGTGGCCGCTAACGACATGGTCAGATTAGAGTTGTTGGTCATGCAGGTGAGGACTCGGTACAGGTGCTGTCGACTCAGGTTGGGCAAGCTCAACACGTTCCGTGATATCTGACCTTTGACCTCCTCGACGACTTCGTCCAGCAGTGACCCCTCGTGCCACCAGGCTACCCACGGCCGAGGAGACCCTGCCACAGAGAACACAGGGGGGTTTGTAAGGCTTTAGTGATGAGAAAATGGTAATGATGATTGCGTAATGACTCACTCACTGTGAGGTAATCACACTCACAGGAAATGACTCAGTTGCTGTGAGTCAGCAATATTAGGTAAGTTAAATATACCCAAGCCATTACGACTCTATAGCACTTGGCAGGGATATAAGGAGAAGGATTTGGGATAGGACGAAGGAAAGGAATGGTGCCCAACCTCCTTGGACGGTTGAGGGATGGAACGTCAACCTGCAAGAAGTTTACAGATGAACTTCTCTCCCTTTTTTCCCCTGCTGCTCTTCCTTTTGTAGCTCGTCTTGACATATTTGTTTGAGTTATAGCATCTCCATTTTTACCACTCTTCTACCGGGTGGTACCAAATATTAGAAAAGTGAACAGTACCTGAATTTCGTTTAAGAGACAACAGCTATTTGCATGTTTTAGGAGAATAAATACTGGAGCCCCTCAGCGAAGGGGAATATTGGTTACACTCGGCCCCCTAATGTTTGTTACGGCACTGTTACGGCGCTGGACCTCGATGGGCAGGTGGGTTGAGAGAGAGAGAGAGATACGGGGCAGAGAGAAAGTGAGAGAGAGAGACAAGGGGCAGAGAGATAGACAGAGACAGGGGGGGTAGAGAGAAAGAGAGAGAGACAAGGGGCAGAGAGAGAGAGAGAGAGAGAGAGAGAGAGAGAGAGAGAGAGACAGGAGGCAGAGAGAGACATTGAGACAGACATAAATATATAGACAAAGAAAGAGACACAGATACAGAATCACATACACACTGTCACAGACATACATACATAGACACATAGACACAGGCAGACAGACAGAGAACAACATTTCTTCAACGCAGGAGCTGGTATAACAACTTTATACATGGATACAGGCACTAAGGTAACATAAACCCGTCCTCCCGTTGAATGCACCATATGTATCGTTTAATGATACGAGCGTATAGATTGGTGATGAGTTAAGATGTCCATTGTAAATGTAGGCATTTCTGAACTATAGAAAATAAGCGCACACTTTGCATGCTTGCCACGTCGTGAGAACGAACTAGACAGTGCACAAAGTGTTGGGACTCATTTCATCCTTTGGAACTACAGTTATAAGATGGGGCCCCAAGAACTGGAGCTCAGTCTCCACAAGCCCATCGAGGTACTCCTCTAATACAACAAACGTAAACACACACACTCACACACACACACACACACACACACACATACACACACACACATACACACACACACACACACACACACACACACACACACACACACACACACACACACACACACACACACACACACACACACACACACACACACACATTAAATGCCTACATTAAATGGAATGCATTAGGAAGTAATGTGGTGGAGGCTGACTCCATACACAGTTTCAAGTGTAGATATGATAGAGCCCAATAGGCTCAGGAACCTGTACACCTGTTGATTGACAGTTGAGAGGCGGGACTAAAGAGCCAGAGCTCAACCCCCGCAAGCACAACTAGGTGAGTACAACTAGGGGAGTACACACACACACACACACACACACACACACACACACACACACACACACACACACAAGGTACTCCGTTGGATACAGGAGCACCTAATCAACAGGAGACAACGAGTCAGTGTGAAGGTTGAGGTCTCAGATTCGCGAGACGTTACGAGTGGAGTACCGCAGAGGTCAGTCCTATACTGATTGGACCTATACTGATTCTGATATATGTAAATGATCTTCCAGAGGGTATAGAATCGTTTCTCTCAATGTTTGCCGATGATGCCAAAATTATGAGGAGGATTGAAACTGAGGACGATAGTATGAGGCTACAAGATGACCTAGACAGACTGAGTGATTGGTCCAACAAATGGCTGTTGAAGTTCAACCCGAGTAAATGCAAAGTAATGAAACTAGGCAGTGGAAACAGGAGGCCAGACACAGGATACAGAATAGGAGATAAAGTACTTAATGAATCGGACAGAGAGAAAGATCTAGGAGTTGATATCACACCAAACCTGTCTCCTGAAGCCCACATAAAAAGAATAACGTCTGCGGCATATGCGAGGCTGGCTAACATCAGAACAGCGTTCAGGAACCTGTGTAAGGAATCATTCAGAATCTTGTATACCACATATGTAAGACCAATCCTGGAGTATGCGGCCCCAGCATGGAGCCCGTATCTTGTCAAGGACAAGACGAAACTGGAAAAAGTCCAAAGGTATGCCACTAGACTAGTCCCAGAACTAAGAGGCATCAGTTACGAGGAAAGGCTGCGGGAAATGCACCTTACGACACTGGAAGACAGAAGAGTAAGGGGAGACATGATCACAACCTACAAAATCCTCAGAGGAATCGACAGGGTAAACAAGGATAAACTATTCAACACTGGTGGGACGCGAACAAGGGGACACAGGTGGAAACTGAGTACCCACATGAACCACAGAGAGGTTAGAAAGAACTTTTTCAGTGTCAGAGTAGTTAACGGATGGAATGCATTAGGCAGTGATGTGGTGGAGGCTGACTCCATACACAGTTTCCAATGTAGATATGATAGAGCCCAGTAGGCTCAGGAATCTGTACACCAGTTGATTGACAGTTGAGAGGCGGGACAAAAGAGACAAAGCTCAACCCCCGCAAGCACAATTAGGTGAGTATACACACGCACAAACACAAATAGTATAATATCAACAACAAAAACAAAGCTGGTTAGCACTCGTGCAGCCACTGGGATGTGTACACAACCTATGTTAGACCAGTGCGGGAATATGCAGCGTCAGTATAAAATTCTCACCAAAAAGTATACAGCATAAAACAAGAGACAGTCCAGAGGTTTCCGGCTATTCTGATCGTAGCTGGATCTTAAACTTATGGAACTGACGTTCTGTGGAAAGGTAGAGAACTTTAGACATTGGGAAACTGAAAAAAAGGAAGAGCAAGAACTGACATACCTTTAAGGAGTCTTAGAACCATTGACAAGTGGCCGAAGAGACTTAGAATGAGCAAGAATAGGACGAGAGGACGTGGGTGGGAACCAGGAACTGAGACGAGCCACAGGGATGTAAGAAAGCACATAATGTAATGTAAGAGTTGAGGGAATTATCTCTCCCAGGCGATAGACTCCTTATCACTGTGCGCCAAATAAATTATTTTGTGGCCCCTAAGCATGAAGAAAGACTGCAAGAAATAATAAGAAGACTTGGACACATTACAAAAATAGTCTAACAAGTGGCTTCTAGAGTTCAACGCCAGTATATGCAAAGTAATGAATATTGAAGCGTTGGAGGGACAGTTACCCAAACACCGAAGGATAGTAATATCCATACTAGCCAACTAGGCTGTGGGAACCAGGAGATTAGTGAACTTGATAAGAGTGTTGTAATAAATTATATCTGATAATGCCTCTCATGCTGAAAGTCATAGTAATGGTCGGGGTGTCAAATGAAAGCCTTATATGAGTATAATAATGGTATCTAATTTTGCCTTTACATTTGTAACATAATCAGAGATTCTGTTAACGTAGAAGGTAACGGTAGAGAATACCGGTTGATGTTGCGGGCTCCGCCCTGGGTGAGAGTGACACTAGAAGCGGTTAGAACAAGGGGTCGGTATAAGGCTCTAACTATCACTTGAACTGTAAGGCTGCGTTAGGCACTAGGCACAATGGTTTCATACAGATGAGATGAAGAGCAGTAGTGTCGGGCGGGGGGGGGGACAGTCCATCAGACGACCTAGAGAATGGCTTGTTAACCTGGTCACCAATCGAGTATACGTTGAGGAACGAGTTCCAAGAGTAGTAGCTTCACTCACGCGTGTCGCAAAGCCAACTAGCTGAGTACACACACACACACACACGGTAGGTAGCCTGGTGGATAACGCGCAGGACTCGAAATTCTGTGGCTCGGGTTCGATTCCCTCACCAGGCAGAAACAAATGGGCAAAGTTTCTTTCACCCTGAATGCCCCTGTTACTGATTTAAAGACAAGTAAATGAGACATATGGATAGAGAGAATAACTGACACAGAACAATAAATACAGTATAAAGCAACACTAATCAGGTCCCACAAAAGAGGAAAAAAAATCGTTTGATTACACAATCACATAACTCCGTATAATAGCAAAAATTACATATTATTGCTTACAATTATCCCTAAAATGCTTGGAAAAACTCTCCAGTGATTTTCCGGGTCTAGAACATGAAGAACTAGTTCATTAAAAGTTTTGTGAGAATATCAGTCAACATAGCTGTGTTTTATGTTCATTTAACCTGAAGTTTTGCTCGTGCTTGGCAATGTAGCACTGATATGTAAGGCCAACACTGAAGTTGGATTCGAGTTGTGATTTTCATATCTTTGTTATTTGTTGGGAATTCCTTTGATTTATATTATCTGCTGTAAGATATTTGACTTCCTGTAACATACGGTAAAGTATACATAACCCTTAATACTTCTTGTAGCACACGGTACCTCATGTAACTAGAGGTTCCTGCTGTAATTTATGGCACCAGCTTTGGTGCGTACGTACCTTCTGTGACCTGACAGGTGAGAGTGAGCAGTCCACCTAGAGGGTAAGGACCGATGACCCCCGTGACCTCTCTTCCGTCCTCCGCAAGGATGGTGACCCGCCTCGGTGGTACTGTGTACGAGAAGTACCTAGTCAGTTGGTGAAATGAGGGTACCTGGGTATTTGTGAAGTGAGGGTACCTGGGTATTTGCGAAGTGAGGGTACCTGGGTATTTGTGAAATGAGGGGTACCTGGGTATTTGTGAAGTGAGGGTACCTGGGTATTTGTGAAGTGAGGGTACCTGGGTATTTGCGAAGTGAGGGTACCTGGGTATTTGCGAAGTGAGGGGTACCTGGGTATTTGTGAAGTGAGGGTACCTGGGTATTTGAGAAGTGAGGGTACCTGGGTATTTGAGAAGTGAGGGTACCTGGGTATTTGTGTAGTGAGGGGTACCTGGGTATTTGTGTAGTGAGGGTACCTGGGTATTTGTGTAGTGAGGGGTACCTGGGTATTTGTGTAGTGAGGGTACCAGGGTATTTGTGTAGTGAGGGTAGCTGGGTATTTGTGTAGTGAGGGTACCTGGGTATTTGTGTAGTGAGGGTACCTGGGTATTTGTGAAGTGAGGGGTACCTGGGTATTTGTGAAGTGAGGGGTACCTGGGTATTTGTGTAGTGAGGGGTACCTGGGTATTTGTGTAGTGAGGGTACCTGGGTATTTGTGTAGTGAGGGTACCTGGGTATTTGTGTAGTGAGGGTACCTGGGTATTTGTGTAGTGAGGGTGCCTGGGTATTTGTGTAGTGAGGGTACCTGGGTATTTGTGAAGTGAGGGGTACCTGGGTATTTGTGTAGTGAGGGGTACCTGGGTATTTGTGTAGTGAGGGTACCTGGGTATTTGTGAAGTGAGGGGTACCTGGGTATTTGTGTAGTGAGGGGTACCTGGGTATTTGTGTAGTGAGGGTACCTGGGTATTTGAGAAGTGAGGGGTACCTGGGTATTTGTGTAGTGAGGGTACCTGGGTATTTGAGAAGTGAGGGGTACCTGGGTATTTGTGTAGTGAGGGTACCTGGGTATTTGTGAAGTGAGGGTACCTGGGTATTTGAGAAGTGAGGGTACCTGGGTATTTTTGTAGTGAGGGTACCTGGGTATTTGTGTAGTGAGGGTACCTGGGTATTTGAGAAGTGAGGGTACCTGGGTATTTGTGTAGTGAGGGTACCTGGGTATTTGTGAAGTGAGGGTACCTGGGTATTTGAGAAGTGAGGGTACCTGGGTATTTGTGTAGTGAGGGTACCTGGGTATTTGTGTAGTGAGGGTACCTGGGTATTTGAGAAGTGAGGGTACCTGGGTATTTGTGAAGTGAGGGGTACCTGGGTATTTGTGTAGTGAGGGGTACCTGGGTATTTGCGTAGTGAGGGTACCTGGGTATTTGTGAAGTGAGGGTACCTGGGTATTTGAGAAGTGAGGGTACCTGGGTATTTGTGTAGTGAGGGTACCTGGGTATTTGTGTAGTGAGGGTACCTGGGTATTTGAGAAGTGAGGGTACCTGGGTATTTGAGAAGTGAGGGTACCTGGGTATTTGTGTAGTGAGGGTACCTGGGTATTTGTGTAGTGAGGGTACCTGGGTATTTGAGAAGTGAGGGTACCTGGGTATTTGTGTAGTGAGGGTACCTGGGTATTTGTGAAGTGAGGGTACCTGGGTATTTGAGAAGTGAGGGTACCTGGGTATTTGTGTAGTGAGGGTACCTGGGTATTTGTGTAGTGAGGGTACCTGGGTATTTGAGAAGTGAGGGTACCTGGGTATTTGTGTAGTGAGGGTACCTGGGTATTAGTGACGTTAGTGTACCTGGAAGATTCGCACCTGCGTATGTTCGCTTGAGGTTTTAACTAAGTAATTACTGTGCCTGAAGTGAATATGTACTTGAGTGGTGGCTGTTTATCATCGAATATTTGTATACTTGAACTTCTCAAGGACACTTATTTCACTTAATTTGCCTACGTAGGCTACACGTATGTACCATAACTACTTAATTACACCTATTAAAATGATTATTCACCACTGACCTGTATGGTGAATTACTTCATTCAGCAGCATGGTGAATTCACCATACTGGTGCCCAGTATGGTGAATATTGATGGTGCAACAGAGACTATGTTGCGCCATCAAACACCACTTCCCTATATCTCTATATATCATTATCTATCTACATATCACTATATCTACCACTTCCCTATATCTCATCAAACACCACTTCCCTATATCTCTATGGGAGATAAAGTCTGTCTCTTCGAGGTTGGGGCCAGACCTTGGGGCTAGTCTAATCTAACTTTGCAGGGTGACTGGTAGTTGTCCGGGGATGGTCATAGATGGGTCAGAATAGCGGCCCATGCCAATCCTCTCCCCCCCCCCCCCTCACCTTTTGCATGAAATATCAAATTACACTAATTTCATGTATCGCTAAGTACCAAATTCCCTGAATTTGAGTGGCCCTGAATTTCCTCGGATCCATCTAACGATTATATATAAGTTTATATGATGTTGTGCATATAATGAAGAAAGTGTTTAGTGAAAATGGTTGCAGTGATGAGAGGAAAGTGATGTAGCCATCTCTGTAGCCTCATCTGTGATGGCTACAGAGATGAGGACAATATTTAATGAAGATGGTTACAGTGATGAGGATGGTTGTGTGTAGTAAAGATGGTTACAGTTACAGTCCTTTGCTGTGAAGCTGGCTATTATGATACTAGTTGTGTAGCAAAGGTTACAGTGTTAAAGATAGTGTATAGTGAAGATGTGGCCTCTCTCTCTCACCCGAGCAACGCCGGGTAGCCAACCTAGTATTCTTGAAAATAAGACGTTATATGCAACATCGGACAATCTTGAGACTACTGTTTGCAGTAATAATGTTGCAAGAATATTTAATAATAAATTGAGTAAGTCAACAATCATTCCGATCAGAGCTCGGTAAACAATTATAGTCCTCTTGGGTGGGGTCAGGTTGCAGCTATGCAATATGGCAGGATGAACAGCACCGTGCAATATGGCAGGATGAACAGCACCGTGCAATATGGCAGGATGAACAGCACCGTGCAATATGGCAGGATGAACAGCACCGTGCAGTATGGCAGGATGAACAGCACCGTGCAATATGGCAGGATGAACAGCACCGTGCAATATGGCAGGATGAACAGCACCGTGCAGTATGGCAGGATGAACAGCACCGTGCAATATGGCAGGATGAACAGCACCGTGCAATATGGCAAGATGAACAGCACCGTGCAATATGGCAGGATGAACAGCACCGTGCAATATGGCAGGATGAACAGCACCGTGCAGTATGGCAGGATGAACAGCACCGTGCAGTATGGCAGGATGAACAGCACCGTGCAGTATGGCAGGATGAACAGCACCGTGCAGTATGGCAGGATGAACAGCACCGTGCAGTATGGCAGGATGAACAGCACCGTGCAGTATGGCAGGATGAACAGCACCGTGCAGTATGGCAGGATGAACAGCACCGTGCAGTATGGCAGGATGAACAGCACCGTGCAATATGGCAGGATGAACAGCACCGTGCAGTATGGCAGGATGAACAGCACCGTGCAATATGGCAGGAGAGTGAATTAAAGAGTTGCCCGTGACTCTGGAAAGAAGCCAGTGCACAAGGACTGCCAACCCTACGGTAAGGGAGCTAAGGGGTGAGAATCAGTTGACCAGACGTGCCAAGCTTACAGTATAGCTCATGTGGTGTCTCCTGTAACTCGAGGTTACAGGAGGTGGAGCGGAACGAGGCCAAAAGAAGCTGTATATTCCTCTTACCCCATAGATGTGACCCCCTTACCCCATAGATGTGACCCCCTTACCCCATAGATGTGGCCCCCTTACCCCATAGATGTGGCCACCTTACCCTACTGATGTGCCCCTTTACCCCTTAGATGTGCCCCCTTACCCTACAGATGTGCCCCTTTATCCTCACATCTCATCCCCCTATTCTCCCCCCCCCCCATCCCCCAAGGCTACACCCTGTTTTCCCGTCTTTCTGCTTTGTGGGCTACATAGCCCAGACAAAAAATGATAGCATGTAAAAGCTGATGAAAAGGTGGTATACGGTTGAAAGAGACTACCAGAGAGCGGTGTAACTATACCCGGCCTTGTTCGACAAGAGGATGGCATCAACAGAATGCTCTTAACAGAATTGTAAAGAGAAAGAGTGAATGCCAGCAAGAGAGAGGCGGGTAGAGAGCGGAACAAGTGTGGTACAGAATTTTTTTAAACAAAAAATTCAGGCGACGTTTTTAGTGTGGACGGAGGAGCGGACGTGCAGTTATCTGGGAAAGTTGAAGGAAGTTGTCAGCTGGAGAGAATCGTGAGGGGTGAAGATAAGAGCTTAAAGGGGTATTGGAACTCAAGCTGTGAGGCGTTATATTCATGAATCACGGAGATAACAGCTTGTGTGTTATATCTAGAGACGTGAGGAATACAGAGGTGTTTGGAACCCATGTTGCGAGGTATATGGTCATGAATCTTAGAGATATATGCTATAAAGGGTGTTGAAACCCACTCGGTAAGACATAGATAGCGACGCGAATAATGGAGATTAGAGCAAAGAGTTATATTGAACCACATCTGTAATGTATAAAGTCCTGATTCTTCATTATTGTAATAAATCTTGTAATATGATTTCCTTTCTTCTTCTGCAGTAATGAAATACAATATTCTTTCTATTTTCCTATCCATATTTTCTCCCTTCCTTTTTGGTTATTACCTCCCTCCTTCCCTTTCCACTCATAAGAACACAAGAAAAGGGAAAACAGCAGAAGATTCATTGGTCCACACGGGACAGCTCCCATTTATGTCCACCCAACGCAATCAGATATATGTCTAACCTACGCTTGAAATAATCTACCCATTCCACATGTATTCTGTAACCCGGTAATTTGTTTTATAATTCCACAACCCTGTTTCCAAACCAGTAATTATCCAGGTCTTTCCTGAATCTAAATTTATTCAGTTCATGCCCGTTGTTTCTTGTTTTATTATGTGTTGATATGAAAAATCAACACAAAATATATTTAAAATATATTGTGTTGATATCTTTAATATCTTGCAGGAGATGAGTCACAATAACGTGGCTAAAGTATGTTGACCAGACCACACACTAGAAGGTGAAGGGACGACGACGTTTCGGTCCGTCCTGGACCATTCTCAAGTCGATTCTCATTCTCAAGTCGAGAATGGTCCAGGACGGACCGAAACGTCGTCGTCCCTTCACCTTCTAGTGTGTGGTCTGGTCAACATATTTGAAATCTTATTTATATCCCCCTTTGTTATTTTCATCAATTTATATACTTCAGTCATGTCGCCCAATTCTCTTCGCCTCTCTTCAGATATTAACGTAAGTTTTTTTCTTCAATAAAAGAAGGTTTTGGAACAAAACCTTCATTGGAAGGTTTGTAATTCCAGGAACTAACTTAGTATATCTCAATGCGCTCAATTTATATGACACTGTATAGTTCGCAGACCAAAACTGAAGTGCATAATGTAAACGGGTCCTAACCAGAGCCGCGATATAGCTGAAGGCAAATATTAGGTGTCCCCCCACTCACCCACCACCAGAAGCTCCACCCTGACGTTCCTGGTGGGGGAGGCCCTGAAGTCGACCCTGCAGCGGTAAAGGCCGCGATCCTGCGAGTCCACATCGTCGATGACCAGCCCCGAAGGCGTTGAGACCAAGTCGAAGTGTGCTCGACCTCCCATCCCCGACCAGTGGATCGACCTCCCGAGCGGTCCCGAGCGGGCGTCGATACTGCAAGAGTAGCAACAGCCCATTAAGCTTGAAAATATATATGTATACATATTTTTTTGGGTGCATAGATTTTTGGGGGTAACTAAATTTATTAGGACATTAAAAGCTTATCAGCTAAGTGGTAAAAAAAATACTGGGCTAAAGCGACACGCTTCGTTATTTAATTCCTTGTTAAAGGAATTAAATAACGATATTTAATTTAACGAACATCTCAAAATATTTGTTCTGCTCTACAGAAATTCAACAGTTTTACGTAATGAAATTACAGTAGAAGGACGTGTGATGATCTTTGAGGCAGGGCGGTGGTATCGAACCTACGTCCTGGAGTGACTTGGAACGCGGGTTCGAGTCCACCGTACTGTTACAAAAGTTTTCTTCAATAGCTTGAATTCACAGGAAGAACAAAGTGGACAGTTAACATTAGGATGTACTTGTAAACTTGAAACTGGTTTACTCTATGTTTGGATATATAAAAAATTAAAGATCACCGTCATATTAAGATAAGATGGGCTAGTTTATGATATGCTAAAGATAGGTTCGGTTAGGGTAAGGTAAGGTCAATTTCAGAAGAAAGCGCTAAGCCATTTACGACAATATAGCACTTGGAAAGAACCAGGATAAGGATTTGGGATGGGACGGAGGGAAGGAATGGTACACAACCACTTGGACGGTCAGGGATTGAACGTCGACCTGCATGAGGCGAGACCGTCGATCTACCGTCCAGCTCAAGTGGTCATGCTAATCATACTCCTTAGTTAAAACTAAGTTGAGTACTCTTAGTTGAATATCTCTCTCTCTCTCTCTCTCTCTCTCTCTCTCTCTCTCTCTCTCTCTCTCTCTCTCTCTCTCTCTCTCTCTCTCTCTCTCTCTCTCTCTCTCTCTCTCTCTCTCTTTCTGTCTTCTCTTCTCTTCTCTCTTCTCTCTTCTCTCTCTTCTTCTTTTGTCCCTCACAAAGCAGCAGCATTACCAACTATGCACATCATGTCTCGCATCAGACAAAGGTCAGAGTACCTCAGCCGAGTGCGGAGGAGCTCGGCTCCTGGGCCCTGCCTTCCCCACCATATCCTCCTCTCTCCTAACACGCCGCGTTTTTTAAAACGGAGTCGACCAATCCGCTGTACATGCAACATATTTGCAGCAAAATATAGTTCCTCGATAGTGACGTATTCCACGCATATGCCTCGTTGGGTTAGGTGGGCTGGTTGGGTTCGTTCGTTCCTCAATAGTGACGTATTCCACGCATATACCACGTTGGGTTAGGTGGGTTGGTTGGGTTCGTGCGCTGATGTTTAGGTAAAACAGTTGTATTTTCTTACGGAGTGGATGCTCTCGTATACCCCTACACACAGCTCAGATAAAAGCCCTCTTCACCCCAAGCCATTTCCTCCGAAGGTGCAATCAGTGGCTTGATCCCTTTCTAAAACCTTTTTGGATCCCTCTCTAAAGCCTTTAAGACCCTCTTCTTCTGCGGCTTTCCCTTCTAGGCATTCTTCCCTCTCTCTCTCTCTCTTCCTGTGTCCTCGTGAGGCATAAAATGCAACTTATGAGTGACAGGAGTTACGTACTTGTGACCCCGTGAGCGTCAGCTGGTGCTTAGGTCAAGGTGAGGCGTTGAGGTGTGGTGGTTGGTGCGTGGGTGTGGTGGTGTGTGGGTGTGGTGGTGTGTGGGTGTGGTGGTGTGTGTGTGGTGGTGCGTGGGTGTGGTGGTGTGTGGGTGTGGTGGTGTGTGGGTGGTGGTGCGTGGGTGTGGTGGTGTGTGGGTGTGGTGGTGTGTGGGTGTGGTGTTGTGTAGGTGTGGTGGTGTGTGGGTGTGGTGGTGTGTGGGTGTGGTGGTGTGTGGGTGTGGTGGTGTGTGGGTGTGGTGGTGTGTGGGTGTGGTGGTGTGTGGGTGTGGTGGTGTGTAGGTGTGGTGGTGTGTGGGTGTGGTGGTGTGTGGGTGTGGTGGTGTGTGGGTGTGGTGGTGTGTGGGTGTGGTAGTGTGTGGGTGTGGTGTTGTGTAGGTGTGGTGGTGTGTGGGTGTGGTGTTGTGTAGGTGTGGTGGTGTGTGGGTGTGGTGGTGTGTGGGTGTGGGTGTGATGGTGGTGGTGGTGGTCGTGGTGGTGACGGAGGGGTTGATGCTAGTGGTGGTAGTAGTGACGGGTGAGAGTGGTGGTGGTGATGATGTGGTAATAGTGGTAGTAGCCTAGAAGATGGGATGGTAGGGGAGCTCAAAAGACGGCGCGGAACGAGCCCAAATGAGGCAGTACATCCCCCCCCCTTACCCCCACATCACCTCCCCTCTACCCCCCCCCCTCCCTCCGCTCCAAGGCAACATCCTTCTTCCCCTCTTTCTGCTTTGTGGGCTACATAGCCCACAGTTATGTAGGCTCCGTGGTGATGTTGTGGTGGTGATGGTGGTCATCGTCATAGTGGTTGTGATGATGGTTAAGATGGTGATGGTGACAATGATGAGAGTCACAATACTGTTGACGGTCATGAATAATGGTGAGAAAGATGATGAATAATAAAAAAGTGCTCTGAGACGAAATTATAGAAACGATGAACAATAGAGAAGACATATGCAACAACAGCAATAATATCATGGTTAATGAAAGCCAACCTGTTTATATATATATATATATATATATATATATATATATATATATATATATATATATATATGCAAACAAGCCTGAATGGTCCCCAGGACTATATACAACTGAAAACTCACATATGGGTTCGAGTCACTTCTGGGGTGTGAGTTTTCAGTTATATATATATATATATATATATATATATATATATATATATATATATATATATATATATATATATATATATATGTATATGTATATATATATATATATATATATACATATATATACTTTATATATCTTTTGAGGGGGGGGTAGAGGGGAGGTGATGTGGGGGTAAGGGGGGGGGGGATGTACTGCCTCATTTGGGCTCGTTCCGCGCCGTCTTTTGAGCTCCCCTACCATATATATATATATATATATATATATATATATATATATATATATATATATATATATATATATATATCCACTAGTACGCGTAGCGTTTCGGGCAGGTCCCTGGAATACGATCCCCGCCGCGAAGAATCGTTGTTACATCCAAGTATCCATTTTACTGTTGAGTTAAACCGAGGCTACAGTTAAGGATTTGCGCCCAGTAAATCCTCCCCGGCCAGGATACGAACCCATCACAAAGCGCTCGCAGAACACCAGGCGAGTGTCTTACCACTACACCACGGAGACTGGTGATATGCTGGGATATGCAGTATATACTTCCCGTTCAGAGCGAGTATCCAAGGAACCTCACATCCCAGTGGCCGAGGGGAACACATCCCAGTGGCCGAGGGGGAATACATCCCAGTGGCCGAGGGGAACACATCCCAGTGGCCGAGGGGAACACATCCCAGTGGCCGAGGGGGAATACATCCCAGTGGCCGAGGGGAACACATCCCAGTGGCCGAGGGGGAACACATCCCAGTGGCCGAGGGGGAACACATCCCAGTGGCCGAGGGGGAACACATCCCAGTGGCCGAGGGGAACACATCCCAGTGGCCGAGGGGGAACACATCCCAGTGGCCGAGGGGGAACACATCCCAGTGGCCGAGGGGAACACATCCCAGTGGCCGAGGGGGAACACATCCCAGTGGCCGAGGGGAACACATCCCAGTGGCCGAGGGGGAACACATCCCAGTGGCCGAGGGGAACACATCCCAGTGGCCGAGGGGGACATCCCAGTGGCCGAGGGGAACACATCCCAGTGGCCGAGGGGGACATCCCAGTGGCCGAGGGGAACAAATCCCCGAAGGAGTGGGAATGGGGAGATTTTACCATTTGTTTCCTTCCCCTGATCCTGACTGTTGTGATTGTTATCAGAACAGTCTGACTGATCAGGGCCATCAACTCGGAGGTCAAATGACCTGGGTTAATGACCTCCTCTTCCTCCAGGCTGACCACAGTTCAGACTCAGGGTACGTTATAGTTCCCGCTCCGGAACTTGTTAGGGAGGTATCGAGCGAGTGATTAGTTCACTCATCGTCCACACGTAAACATGACGAAGTGCGAGTGGGTGCCTGTACTCACCCACATGTAATGACCTGGATGGTCTTATTCACCCACATGTATTGTACTCATCAAGATGTACTTGCAGGGTCGAGGTTCAACGGACGGTTCGTACACGAGCCTCATATCTTCACACACTCATCAGGGTTCGAATCTATGAGTTACGTTATTTTGGCCTTCTCAGAAGCGTCTTCTTGTCAGTTACTGCCTTCTTCATCCGTTCGAATCTCCTGTACCGTGGCCACTAGAGAGACAGTGGCTTTAGGGGCAAACAGTTGGTGTGGGACTACACATGTGTATCCACCCTGGCTGACACCTATGTACACTTCGGAGCTGATCAAGCAGGTGGGGCGGCCAACCACAGGGAAACAGCAAAATCAGTCAAATACAGGCGACTGGAAGGTCAATACCTCTTTGTTCCCATAGTGTCTGAGACGCATGGCCCCTGGGGCAAGAGTGCCTTGGGATTTCTCAAGGAATTGGGTTTCAGGCTCAATGACGTCACCAGAGACCCAAGGGCTGCCAGTTTCCTGTTTCAGCGCCTCAGTGTGGCGATCCAGAGGGGAAACGCCTGCTGCGTCCTCGGTTCCTGTCCGGAAGCGGAGGAGCTTCAAGAGATCCATAACCTTTAAGCACTCATTGTTCAGCTAATGTAAATCTTGTAATCTTTAAATATATAATAAAGCACAACAAAAGACAAAAGGAAGGGGGTGGTAGGAGATAAGCACACAGAAACTGTATTGGAGGGGATCTAAACATTCCCTCTAATCTAACACAAGAGACTCGTCTCCCTAGAGTCTAGAGTCTAGGCTCTAGAGAGAAGAGTAACCATTCTCTAAGAGTCACTCAAGAGACAGGTGACTCTACACTGGTTGTTCGGCTTCCATCGTCCAGGATCATTAAGTGTTGCTTCTTTATTTTCCCCTT